ACGAGAGGGGAGAGTGTTGTCTACGTAACCTCGTAGACCGTTAAGCGGAAGCGTTATGACAACGCGGTTGATGTAGTCGTACGTCTTCACGAATCGACCGATCCAAGCACCGAACGTACGGCACCTCCGTGTTCAGCACACGTTCAGCTCGATGACGTTCCCCAGGCTCCAATCCAGCTAAGCGTCGGGGATGAGTTCCGTCAGCACGACGGCGTGGTGACGATGATGATGTTCTACCGGCGCAGGGCTTTGCCTAAACTCTGCGACGATATGACCGAGGTGGAATATGGTGGAGGGGGGCACCGCACACGGCTAAGGAACGATCCGTAGATCAACTTGTGTGTCTATGGGGTGCCCCCCTCCCCCGTATATAAAGGGGGAGAGGAGGAGGGGGCCGGCCTAAGGGGAGGCGCGCCCTAGGAGGGGGAAACCTACTCCAAGTAGGTTTGCCCCCTCCCTTTCCTATTCCAAGAAGGAGGGGGAAGGAAGGAGTGGGAGAGGGGGAAGGCAAGGGGGGCGCCGCCCCCCTTCCTTGTCCTATTCGGACTCAAGGGGAGGGGGCGCGCCTCTTGCCCTGGCCGGCCCCTCTCTCTCTCTCTCTCTCTCCACTAGGGCCCATCAAGGCCCATTACTTCCCGGGGGGGGGGGTTCGGTAACCCTCCGGTACTCCGGTTTTTCTCCGAAAACACCCAGAACACTTCCGGTGTCCGAATATAGTCATCCAATATATCAATATTTATGTCTCGACCATTTAGAGACTCCTCGTCATGTCCGTGATCACATCCGGGACTCCGAACAACCTTCGGTACATCAAAACTTATAAACTCATAATAAAACTATCATCGTAACGTTAAGCGTGCGGACCCTACAGGTTCGAGAACTATGTAGACATGACCTAGAACTATTCTCGGTCAATAACCAATAGCGGAACCTGGATGTTCATATTGGTTCCCACATATTCTACGAAGATCTTTATCGGTCAAACCGCATAACAACATACGTTGTTCCCTTTGTCATCGGTATGTTACTTGCCCGAGATTCGATCGTCGGTATCCAATACCTAGTTCAATCTCGTTACCGGCAAGTCTCTTTACTCGTTCCGTAATACATCATCTCATAACTAACTCATTAGTTACAATGCTTGCAAGGCTTAGGTGATGAGTATTACCGAGAGGGCCCAGAGATACCTCTCCGACAATCGGAGTGACAAAACCTAATCTCGAATTATGCCAACTCAACATGTACTTTTGGAGACACCTGTAGAGCACCTTTATAATCACCCAATTACGTTGTGAAGTTTAGTAGCACACAAAGTGTTCCTCCGGTAAACGGGAGTTGCACAATCTCATAGTTGCAGGAACTTTGTATAAGTCATGAAGAAAGCAATAACAACATACTAAACGATCAAGTGCTAAGCTAACGGAATGGCTCAAGTCAATCACATCATTCTCCTAATGATGTGATCCCGTTAATCAAATGACAACTCTTTTGTCCATGGCTAGGAAACTTAACCATCTTTGATTCACGAGCTAGTCAAGTAGAGGCATACTAGTGACACTATGTTTGTCTATGTATTCACATGTATTATGTTTCCGGTTAATACAATTCTAGCATGAATAATAAACATTTATCATGAAATAAGGAAATAAATAATAACTTTATTATTGCCTCTAGGGCATATTTCCTTCAGTATATGTTCTAAAGTTGCAAATAGCATAAGGGGAAGGTCCCATTACAAAATTGTAAATTTCGAATTGATTTCTAATCTATTGTATTCTTTTTCAAGAATGCCGCCACTCGGATTCAAACCAAGATGCTTGAGCACTGCTTCCTAAGAGCAGCGTGTCTACCAATTTCACCATGGCGGCTAACTTCAAATAATAGGTAACTTAAAAGAATAATAGCTATTATCTTGGGAATCGTCGATATTGGGAAAGTCCATAAGATTTAGGAACATTAGAGTTTTCATTAAAATAGACTTCGTTTGGTAGTATCGTTTCCATTTTTTTTACAATAAACTCTTGCTTTGCCCAATAGAAACACAAACACTCCTTGAAAGAGTTGGAACTTCTTTTTTCTAACTTGCAATTATAGAACTAATTTTTTTCTAATTAATTTCTCATTTACATTTTGAAAATTCGTTCAATACAATGAAAAAAATATCCAAAAAGGGTTTCTATTTAATGATGAAATTAAAATGGATAAATAGAAAAGGCTTTTTTGATTTTTTTTCAAAATTTCTAGAATGAAAGTCTGTATGCTCTTATTAATAAGATTTACTAACCTTATGATTTTAGAGAAGATAGGTAGAAGTTGTAAGTCCTATTGTAAGAATACTCCACTTTTCATAATTTTCATAATAAAGTATGAGGATTCTATTATGAAAAATATGAAAAGTTCATTGATAGGAAAAGAATACTTAGCACACAGTATACCAAACAAAAAAAAATCTTGTATATATAAGAGGTTTTTTTTGTTCTAAGAATATTGTACCGAGTAATTCGACACATAAAAGTACATTCAAAGAAGAATCAAAATTATTAAATAATTGGAATTCTTTTTTGATAAGTCAATTCATATTATTCAAAAATCTTATTATCTGTTTGTTGCCCAGAAAAACCCTTTGGTTTTGGATGCTCATTACCGCTCGAAAATGATCTTGATTTTACTAAAGAATAAGATTGTACTATGGAAAAATAAGTCTTTTTCTTCCAAATATTTTTACGAATACGCTTTTTTGACATTGAAGTACGTTTTTTTGGAACTGCCATTCAAAAAGGAAATTAATTTTTCTAGTTGTATGTGAAAAACATCTATTGCTGCAAATCAATCCTTCCTTCTTCTTTTTATTAGTATTTATACTTAGATACTGAAAGATACTTAAATTTTGAATTATTTTTTACTTCATTTTGTCTAATGCGGATAAGACAACAAGAATTTTTTAACATTTTTTCTTTATATATTTTATACTTGTTTTTTAATAATATAGAATATATAGAAGGGTTTCTCATTTAAATCTATTTATATCTATTTATATATCAAGTATACTCCATATATAGATATATGGTATGGAAGCCTATCCCCCATATAAGATAAGACGGGGGGATAAAAAGAAGGGAAAATGAAAATAGTTATTTAAGTTCAGAATGGTATTCCATAAAGGAAAGGAATTCCAATCAAAACAAAAAATACTGAGTCTCTTAAACAAGACATTCTAAAACTTAGGTAATTTATAGTCATTAGGATTTTAGTTCTATATGAAGTAAGGACTATTCGATAATTTCTTATAAACATAGGTTTTCATTGGAATTCACTCAATCATTTAATTATGGAACAAGAGAGCTGTTTCATCTTTGTTTTAAAGAAATATAAAAATGAATTATGAATAGAAAGTAAAATGATTCAACTTTTTTTTATTTTTATAAATATCTTTATTTAGGTAATAAAATAACTTCGTTACCTAGTTATTTTATTAACTTTTTGAATTTAACCAACTAAACCCATTCTTAATTTTTAATTATTTCAATGAGATAAATTTTTGAAAACTTAAGAATTTCAGTATTTTTTCTTATTCTTTTTATTTATTTTTTCAGAAAGAGATAAGAATTGGTTTGGTGAATCGGAAACAATTTTATAGAAAAATTGAAGTAAAAATTGAAATAAAAATTGCATTTCTTTTCTTATGGAACATACATATCAATATGCATGGGTAATCCCTCTTCTCCCACTTCCAGTTATTATGTCAATGGGATTTGGCCTTATTCTTATTCCGACAGCAACAAAAAATCTTCGTCGCATATGGGCTTTTCCTAGTATTTTACTCTTAAGTATAGCTATGGTATTCTCAGTTCAACTGTCTATTCAACAAATAAATGGAAGTTCGATCTATCAATATCTATTGTCTTGGACCGTCAGTAATGATTTTTCTTTAGAATTTGGATACTTGATTGACCCACTTACTTCTATTATGTTAATACTAATTACAACTGTAGGAATCCTAGTTCTTATTTATAGTGATGGTTATATGTCTCACGATGAAGGATATTTGAGATTTTTTGTTTATATAAGTTTTTCCAATACTTCCATGTTGGGATTGGTTATTAGCTCCAATTTGATACAAATTTATTTTTTTGGGAACTTGTGGGAATGTGTGAATTTTTCAAATGCTTGATTAACATTTTCAAAATATAAGATTAACATGTTTTTAATGCTAGGTCGACATTTTTCATATACAACTGAAACATTTATCTTGTATACATTTTACATTTTTCAAATATATGATTAATTTTTTTTAAACACATGTTTTTGAACATTGTTGCTCGAATATTAGTTAATTTTTTTCCCAAATAAGTGTTGAAACATTTTTTCAAAATGTGTCAACATTTTTTAACATTGCACAATCATTTTTTTCAAACTTAAGTAATTTTCTTAAAATATGTGTAATTTAGTTTTTTTTTGAAAATGTAAAAAGTACAGAAAACGAAATCGAGTGAACGAACGAAAAATGATCGAGCGAACATCGCTACTGAGCCGGCCCATTACCATGTCATTTCAGGCAAGCGGATGGCTTGTCTTGCTAGAAGCGAGACATAGCCGCAGCTGTGTCTTCCGGGCCGAAAAGTAAAAAGGCTCATGTAGAAGTCCAGTAGCCTGAATTAGGTTATGCATGATACCATACTCTTGACTAATCATAGCTTTTTTTTGGCGGAAGAATGGTAATAAAATACAAAGATTTAGAGGACGTGTCAAGCATTTACCACACTAAATCAAATTTAAAAAGCGAACTATTCAAAATTTACGAAATAATAACTCACATATATCTGCATTTTTTCAGAAGATACATAACCATATAAACACCGAAATTCATACATATATAATTGGCAAAATAAACATTAACACAAAGGTAGCTACAACAATAGGCTATTTATTTAATTTTTTGATGCAACTGATTTCTTGCCGTGGAATGCAAAATAAACAAATCAAAGCAGTAGTGTGATTACTTAACGACCAGACTGCAGATCGTTAACAACTTTCTTCTCGATGCTGAAATATGCAACACTAGTTATTGTCGAGCTGGCCATTGATGAGGCCTCCCCAAGTAGGCATTCCGTCTCTTCAGGGTTCCGCTGTACCCATGGATGTTGCATCACCTTCCTCAGACTATCAAGCTTCTCCGCAACTTCCTTCATGGATTGCCTATTGTCACCACACATCTCTAAGCATCGCACCGCTAGCTCCGCGATCTCTTTAATAATCTCTGTGTTATCCCCATCCTTGATCTCAATATCCAAGATCTGGTCGAGCTTATTCTCCTTCATGGCATACATAAACATCATCGATAGGCTCTTCTCGTGGGCAGGGACATCCGGATTGAAATTAAATGGCAATTTGGCCGTGAGTAGTTCCAACAAAACAACCCCAAAGCTGTACACGTCGCTCTTGTCCGTCAGCAGGTTGGTTTGCATGTACTTCGGGTCAAGGTACCCGCATGTTCCATGTACAAGTGTGATGAATTGTGACTTATCAGTTGGTGCCAGGATGGAGGCGCCAAAGTCAAACACTTTAGCTTGGTGGTCCGTGTCAAGAAGAATGTTAGAGGACTTGACATCCCCGTGGAGGATCGGCGTCGAAGTCGATGAGTGAAGGTAGGCGAGCGCGTCCGCGGACTCGTGGGCGATTCCCAAGCGAGTAGACAAGGGGATACACATGCCATGGGTACCGTGTATGAGCTGGAAGAGGGTGCCATTTGGGACGAACTAGTATACCAGCATAGGGACTTCCACTTTGAGGCAACACCCGAGGAGCTTCACAATGTTTCTATGGTTGACCTGGGACAGGATTAACATCTCTTTTCCGAATTCTTTCTTCTGTTGCTCATCAACCGTCTTGCATCTCTTGTCAGCTACTTCCACGTCGCCCTTGAGAAGTCCCTTGTACACAGTCCCATAGCCCCCTTGACCTAGTACTTGTTGTTCGCTGAACTTGTTTGTGGCTTGCTGCAGTTCTTCTTCCGTGAAGATTTTGAATGTAATACCTTGCTTTGACCTCATCTCATCAAATAATATCAGACCACCGTGCTGCCGAAAGTCTCCCGCTTCATCTTGTGTAGCTTTCTTCTCTCTTGGATCATGCATGCGCAGGCTATAGCAATCACAAAGACGACTAGTCCAACAGTTGCACCTGCATTATCCATCCACGTAGAGCTATAATGCATCTGTTCAATTTTAATGTAATTTCTTTGGGCAGTGACAACTTAAAGTACTTTGTTTGAGGAGAAAGAAAAGTACTGTTAGATGAGTTTGGTAGGCTAAGATAAAGTTTGCTAAACACTGGTTGTTGTTGAACAACATACTACCGGTGGACTATCATGATATAAAGTTCGTAGGTGTCCTACAGATGTCCAATTAATCGTTCATATGCAGCATGTGTATATTGTGCTCACAAAGAGGAGAACTCACCTACAACAGGCATCACCGGAAAACGGGATTGACAAGTGCCATCCGTCCAATCTTGCCGTCCGTGACATGAGCAGGTGTAATGCCCTAACATGTTCTCGCAGATTCCAGAGCCGCAGATATTAGCATTTTCAAGGCACTCGTCAATATCTGGAAACAAAACAATTGTTTTCAGTTAGAGTTGCCAAGCTGTTCGTACAGGTGACTCGTAAATCAATTAAGGTACACGAGAGTTCATGTCAAATGTATACAAGGCAGCAAAAGGGAAGTCACCTTGGCATCCGTTCGTGATGTATGGGTTGCCTTTGTACCCATTGGAGCAATTGCAGCGGTAACCTTGTTTCATGGTGGTGGAATCCACACATATACTGTTGCTGTTAACACATGCATATGAAGTCGTGTTCTTCTTAGCTTGCTCGCAATTCGACGCTTCTATTCGCCAGTTCAGCACAACAGGAACTCCACCTTTGTACGTCTCTTCCAACAGTCTGGATTTGACATATAGCTAGTTTTGAAACTGAAGGCCGCCTTATCCACCAGTACCACGTAGATGCAAGGACTGCCGTCTGTCCATGTTTCTGCCGTGTTGTTGTTGAAATAGCCATAATAATCCGGTACGTTTTTCGGGACATCAGCTTGACAACAGCCGGCACCATCACATGTGTCATTCACAGGGGAATAGTACGGACTGCACTCGGACGAGCAACCTGTTACATACTGGACGAAGAAAGTGTATATGAGATGTCTTGAACCAAACTTACACTACCTTTTTTCCATGAAAGGAATGCTGATTTCTAATAGAGTAAAATACACCCGCGGTCCTAGAAGTATTTGAGGTGTGCCAAGTAGGCCCTAAAAATTTGAAAACGTCCTATATGTGTGTAAGTCGTCCACAGCGGGTCGATCCTATCCGCGGTTGACTAGTCCACGTGTCCTGTTGACTCACGCCACATAGGCAATATTTTGCCAAGATCCCCGTGGTAGACTTCTCCTTCTCACTTGTGGCTTGTCTTCTTTTCTCCTCGTCATGTGTGTTGAGGTTCGTCGCCGTGCATGCAGCATAGATGTTTGCTAGGACCACGACATCATGCTCGGTTCCATGGAGTAAGCGCTACGCGTCGGAGTGCTTGCGAAATTTCACGTCGAACAACAACAGCCCACGGAACGTTGATGGCTTGTTGCTGCGGGCGCTGCGCAACCTCGTGTTCACCGTCTCACCAAATAGTCTCATGTCGCTCAACGTGCTCCCGTGGCTGGTGCACGTGCTGCAGGATGGCTCTGTTGGCACGCAACAACCATCTGCAGGACCTCTAGCTCCCTGGAGCTGAAGCGCCAGTTGGGCAACCATACTGGAAAGCAACATCGCTGTCGGTGCTGCATCAATGTTTGGT